ACTCCTGCATTCTCTGCACTCTGCTCACTGCACTATTTGTCAATATGTATAGATTGTTTTTGTTCATAGTGTGTATATTTGTGTTGTCTACACTAAAGTCTGTGTCTGATTTTCTGTTATTTTTATTATTGCGATTTTGTATTTTTGTATGAGTAAGCACATCGTGAGCAATATACAAGCCAGAGTCAAATTCTGTGTACGCATACCTGGCAATAAAGCTGATTCTGAATAACTTTTACGCCGAATTTACCAGAAGACGCTTAAGGTAGAAAGTTGTTTTTAGGTATATAATACAATGTATGTTAATACTTTGCATAGAAGCAAAGAGGTGTGGAAACTAACGAATCTTGAAAGGAGATTTGGCAGTTTCGTTTCGCTCCCTGCTGCTAACAGCTGGTCACCTGTTTGTTAGTCAGCGTATCTGTCGTTTATTTTCCGTTACGTGGCCTAGTATTTTTTGTATTTTTACCTATCATATTAAAACCGACCGCAGTGTTTTGGTGCAACATACAATCTTGAACTACAAGCCAAAACCTTAACACAGCATATCAAACTATTCCGATACGTTTGCAACCCTGCTGCACATTCAGCCTCATAATCTGTCAATTAAGAATGTGCTAGCTAGGCTAACGTTAGCTTAGCAATGCAGCAGCAGTGCCGTTATCTTACCTTTCCTTTTAAATCCAAGACGTACACAGCACTCGCAGACATCTTGAACTAATGAATACGAGCTTAGTTCAGCTCTTTATCAGCACCTTCTTGACAACGTTTGATAATAACTAATTCAGGGGTAAAATCAAAGAAAAGACTTTCATTCATAATACCGAAAAGAAGAAAGCCACCCTTCCCTTTTTGTTACACCATCCATGCAGCTAACAAGCGCCCCCTATGAACCGGGAGGATGTAGTACTCATCCTGCTTTCTTTTAGTGTCATGGCGTTTGGCATCCATACACGTTGCTTTACCGCCAACTGCTGGATTATAATAGGTGTGGTATGAAATATCAGATATTAACTGAGTTGTTCGCTCACTCCATTACAGTACTTTCACTAGTGCTGTAGGCTACGGCTGAGTGCAAACCTGTGCAACATGGTGATTGATGGATGCAAAATGTCACCTGTTGTTACTGTCATTCCTGTTTTTGTTTCATCCCATTTATGAAGACTTGGAATGAGATTCTTGACAGACCAATCTAAATGTCCGCATTGAGTTTCACATTTATAATATTGCTACTCACATAAACTTTTTGTCCTCGTTTAATCTTTTCAAATAAAGCTTGTGTTGTAAGATTTTGTTAGATATGAACTTTGAAGTGTGGATGATGATGTGATGATCTGGCAGTTTTACAACACAAAGCACAGATCCGATATAGATTTCTTGGACCAAGACAACTATGACTCACGAGTTTGCATTTCTTTCATGGACACATTTCAAACTTTAATCTCAGTCTTAAAAGCTTCTGGTCTTGAAGTTGTGTTCTTATAGGAACCTTCTTCTTTCTGTCATCTACCTTGTGTTCATCCTGTAGCTTCCCCTGCTGGATGAATGGTTCATCTGCACTATTCAATTCAAATCAGCTTTATGGGCATGAATATATAACAACAACATTGCCAAAGCTATATATAAATTACATAAGTACAATTCATTTCATAAGTAAATAAGTAAATAAAACAGTAAAAGTTGTGTTTGTGTGTGTTAATAAAAAATGAAATAATAATAATAAAAAATCTATAAAATAAAAATTCTGTAAAAATAAATATTACAAATAAAAGTAAATAATTAAAACAGTAAGCGTGTGTGTGTTTAAAAAATAATTTTATTAAAATAAAATGAATGTAAAAGTATGTGAAAAGTAACGTATGTGTTTAAAATGTATTCATTAATTTAAAATAAAAAACAACAACTAAAAAATCAGTATCAAATGTGAAATTTAAAAACAAAATACTAGACCACTTTTACCATTTTCAGTTTTATGGTCAAACTGCTCAACTGTTAAATGATACTACTGCAATGAAACCTCCTACAGATCTGCTGTATGCGATCAATTATCATATAAACAAATAAAAATATATGTAAGAAACCAATAAATTAAGAAATAACTGTAAAAAATAAGTCAATAAGAAATGCTTTCTCATCAGCTTTTTCATCCCTCTTTTATTGGAGTTTCATTATTTTTACACCAGAACCCGTCTTTCTATGGGTCATTTTCTTCCTCTGACCTTTTATTACTTTATGTCACTTTTGTTGCCACCAATCTCAGTCCTCCTGCCCTTCAGCCAATCACACACTCCCACAGGCTCAACAGCTATTGAATGAAACTACACTAAATAAACCAAAAAAGTATGTAAACAACCTTACATCAAGCAACATTACATACTTTATTTTGTAAACATCTCAATCCAATATGTTGGGCTTTCTACAAGATTTTGGAACCTGGGTGCATGAAATTCTGTTCTGTCCACTGATGTTGGGCAATAAGGCCTGGTCTGGTTAGAAGGGATTCAGTTCAGGGCTCTGTGCGGGACTGTCAAGATCTTTCACAACAAATTTGGAAAACATTTCTTGTGGATTTCCATGTGTGCATAGGGTCCTGTTAATAGGAAAGGTCCTTCCACAAACAGTTGGAAGCACTATTGTCTCAAATATCATTGCATTAAGATTTCCATTAATTGGAACAGAGTAGTCCAGGCCATGAAGCCCAGACCACAAGAACAAAAACGGATTTACGGATTTAATTAAAATAATCCAGACAAAATGTGGCTTAGATGAGGGAACATTACAGCATTGTTTCTGCAAGTGCCAGGAAATTTTCTGGGTGAAGATAATACAGACCTGTCAAATCTAGGGTGAAATCGGTCAGCCTCTTAACCAACTGTTAATCAGTAGCTGAATAGCCTCTCAATCTGCCTGGCCATGGATAAACTGACATATACTACTAAAGAAGACATTTCAAAATAATACAGGGGTACACTACCTGCAAAACCAAGTAACCAAACCAGCTCAAGGAATGTAGCTTATGAACAACAGAATGATGAACTAATGCACTATATCCATAGTGGGATTTTTGTTGTTTCAGGATTTCTGTCTAACTTCACTGAAGTTTGACTCAGCTTTTCATTCAGCTGCAAAGAATTTGTGAAAACCTTCCCTGTCACAAGTGCTGATGTGACCCCTGTCCTAACTTTATACTGAAACTTAACAAACTCCTCATGTCACTGACTATAACTGCTGATGTGCAAATCCTAAATGGCAGCTAAGAAACAAACACTGACTTCATTTGAGGTGAAAAGACTCCTGAAACTTAAGCAGTGGTATCGCCGCTTCATATATTTAAAAATACACCACTTATTAATATGTCAGTGTATTATAATACACAAAGCTTCTGGAGCAATTATTGAGGTAGTACAGGCTTACCATTAAAATAACTTTGGTTTAAAGGCTGCTCAAGTACACTAACCCACCCAGCTGGTACTTTTCACTTCTGTGTATTGTGAACAGAGACCGGGATGTTAAGTGATGAATGATAGCAAAGATATACAAGAGAACATGTGATGTGTGAATGAACAGCTGGGTAGTTTTGGGAGAAATACACCATGTAAACTCTGCACTGTCATTAGATAAAGTTAAATATAGAGGTAATTGAAGCAGGGACATCAGTGTTTTATGAGCAAAAACAACCAAACCTAAAACTAAACCATACAAGTTTTCTTTCTTTAAGAACACCACCCCCTTTGGCGTGAACATCCTTTTGGCACCGGGGCTTGTGCAAGACAACTGTGCTTCATCAAAGTGCTGAAAGTGATCTCTGATCCCTTGGCTGGTACGATGGAGTCTAGACATTGTCAGAAGTCATACATACAACTGGGCTGAGTTACAGAGACAAATATAACAGATTGCCACTTTCTTCAGCCACTTCCATACACCATGCACAGTGTTTGTGTGTGCGGCTGTAGTTGGGATCACTCGATGTGGTTGTATAGTTAATGGACAGCCTCAGAGCTGAACTGGGCTGGCAAGTGTTTACTTTTGTTGCAGAATGGGCTTGTTTGAGTACACTATGAGTCAGTGCATCACATAGGTGTTACTTTATCAGCCAGATGTGCGGGTGTGCCACAGCAAACCTTTGCATTATTGTCTCCTTACACTTATCACTGTGAATAATCTTTTTTGTGTATAATTGATGTTCAAGACTGAACTGTAATGTCAGTGTCTGCATACTGTTTGCATGACATCAAACACTTCAGGCTACTAAAAGTGCACTAGTTTGTGTTCTTCATGGAAGCATTCATATACACTCTAATTTGTTCCACCATCCCCATGGCTTTGTGATTTATACTTAGCAAGACTTTGACTCTACTCCCAAGGCGATCCTGTGGCTTTTGGGGGAGTTTTTACCATACAAGGAGAAGAGGAGTTTAGCTCGGTTTCCTGTGGGAGGGTTCTGATTTCTCTCACACCACATCTGATTCACTCTGTCTCTAATTCTCTTTCCCTTACCTCCTCTCTCTTTCTCCCTCTCTGTTCCCCTCTCCTGGTCCTGCTCCAAACCTCCTTTCCGCTCACTATGCAAACTGAACAACAAAAGATTGTACTAATCACCAAATCACTTCCAAAATCAATATTTGTTACATTAAATTGTCAGAATTGTATCTGAGCTATGTATTATGATAACATTGTGTGCAGCCAGCATCCTGACAGACCAAATAAGGCACACAGCCTCAACTCCTCTCACTGCAGGACACGATGTAAGCTTGTGTTAACCCAGAGTTTTAAAGCTATCAAACTGCCACCACTTTCCTAAACTTCTGCCAAAAAAGGCTCCAGTTTCCCTCGCCTGCTAAAAAGACTTTAGATTTAGGTCTCTAAATCTCAAAGAGAAAATTATAGATTTGTGGATCCATGTATTTGATGTCTTTCAATTTGGCAGATTTCCTCAGGGTGATCCAACTTCTGAACAGCCTACACGTTACTTATTGTGAAACACACATTTCTTATTCTCTTCTACAAATCTATGGATGTGATATGAGGCATAACTGGTCAGAACCTCACACAATATGATCTCAGCCATCCTTCAGTTTACCTGGAAAAAGTCAAAATCTTCAAATTTGAGGATAACTGGTTGCCACTGGACAGCGACAATAGCTCATCAAATTCAAAGCCAGGAAAGTGTCTAAGTAATAATAGCTAATCATGGGATGCACGCTGCAATAGTGGCGTCGTAAAAAAACAAGAAATGCATGTGTCTTATTGCATCTTCAGATGTCACTTAAATGGCCACTGTACATCTCACTGTTCTTTGAATTTCCTTGTAATCTTTATTTTTAGCCTCGGGCAGCTGGCACACAAGAGTTGAAAGCAAACAGATGGGTCCATTAGTGCTGATGTCACCAGCACACATACACAGACATACGCACCTCCCACTCGCTACGACAATTTCAAATTGACCACTGTTTGCACAAAGATGAATAATTACAAAAATAATAACAAAAATATCAATATCTAACATTTTTTTACATTTGCTTTTCTTGTTATTGCATTAAGAGAATACCATGCATGGCACATTTTCCAAAGCATAAAATCATATTCCTGGAAACCATCTCAGTGACAAAAGATGTATCTACCAGTCAACAATGCTTTTTATATGGTGCGCCTTACAAATTACAGATCTAAATAAAGGTCTGTCAGACCAATAGTAATTAAGAGGATCTTAATTGCAGTAGACCTGTGGTTTATGTCTGTGTTGCTCGACTGTAAAGCTCTGGCTGCCTGGTGTAGATCACACACAGACAGCTCTTTCCCTAGATATTCTTTGGCTGGATCATTTTCCATACAGCCCTTTTTCATACTGCGGTAGAATGAAAACTATGTCCTTTTCTAACCAACTCTGG